TATTATTATTATTAAATATACTTAAATTATTTATATAATTTAAATATTATATTTTATAATTACATATTTAATTTTCACGCAAATCGCATTAGTGAAAAGCGTCAATGTAAACGCAGTCTAACGATCCGCTATAGTAACGTAGTAACTTTTATTACTTAAGGTTGTCCACAAATTTATTACTATCGCCACCCGTGGCAAGAGAAGAAAAGCTGGAACAGTCTTTTTATACTTACCTTGGTTAGGTATGTTGACGTTTTCAAAAAATCTCAATAAATATGAATAATCGTAATTTTTTCATAAAATTCTTGAATACCATTGTAAACTAAAAACATTATGCTAATACATTAAAAGAGTATTTATTTGAAAAGTCGTGAATATGATTTTTGATGAATATTTATTATAAATATGATTTTTTGTGGTGATCTTTTATTTCTATTTTAGATTTCAAAATGGGCCGGTACGCTCGCGAACCAGATAACGCTGCAAAATCCTGCAAAGCTCGTGGCTCCAATTTAAGAGTTCACTTTAAGGTATGTATATATTTTTTTTCAATTTTAGGTTTAGAATAAAAAAAATACCAACATAACCACAAATTACCCTATGTGCAGTACTCTAAAACAGTCTTGTTGATTATGTACCATAAATTGAAGAGCTATTATTTAATATACATTGCTATTTTATAAAAATTAATACTGTTGTTACTCTCAGAATACATGTGAAACGGCAAATGCCATAAGGAAAATGCCATTGAAAAGAGCAGTAGCCTATCTTAAAAATGTTACTGCAATGAAAGAATGTATTCCATTTAGACGTTTCAATGGCGGTGTAGGACGTTGTGCTCAAGCTAAACAATTTGGAACTACACAAGGACGTTGGCCAAAAAAGTCTGCAGAATTCTTACTTCAATTATTGAGAAACGCTGAAAGTAATGCCGACTATAGTGGACTTGATGTTGATAGATTAGTCGTAGAACATATTCAGGTAAGCAATGTAGTTAATGCAATTTATCGATATATTTTTGTCTTTCAAATGAGCACATAAAATTTGTGGACTGTATGTTTTTAATCTTGAAAGTTTTTTGTTTGATGTAAGTTCAAGTTAATATCCCTATCTTTGTGTAATTATTTTATCACTGGCACGATATTTATTAATAATAATGATATTTAAATAAGTGTGTAGCTGTACATTTCACAATAATTGTCTAATTTAAACATGAACTTCACATATAATTTGTTATTATTGAGGTTAGAGACATCTAAACCCAAAACTAAAGAATTTTCGTGACATATATGAAGGTACTAACTCCAACTCCGTACGCGAGAAAACTCGAGTTGATTTGCGTGCGGATAATTCCCCACGTAAGTCAACCTTACTTAATTATTATTTTGAAACAGACCAAACTTGTAGTGTAACTAAACTGCACAACTGAACTGTTCAACTACGAAATAGCAAGGTGCAGATAGTGGTAAATTAAGCGTGTGCAGTAGTATATGTTTTATATTTATCTTCTTAAATATCTATGTAAGAATCCAAAGAGCAAATGGCTGTTTGCAAATAAAAACATTTTTTTGTCTTAGGTAAACCGTGCCGCATGCCTGAGACGTCGTACATATCGTGCCCATGGTAGAATTAACCCATATATGTCGTCCCCCTGCCATATTGAATTATGGCTTACCGAGGGCGAAACAACCCCAGAAGCCCCTAAGAAGGGAACAAAGAAGAAGAATACAGTGGATAAAGTAAAGAGGGCCAAACCAGCAGCTTCTACTGCTCACTAAATATTACTTTTATTTATATTCATAAACACATTGTGAGGCCCCTTAAATAAATGTTTAAAAAATTATGTTTATTAAAAAGTTTACATTTTTCATTGGGTCATGTAAAGGGCTTTAATTAATAACAGGACTTTCCTTTTTTTCTCAAAATAATATATTATCAGCTGCAAATGTATTGAGACTCCACTTTGACTGTGTTTATCTCGGAAACTGAGAAGAAAAAAACGTGGAAAAATACGCACTTATTTTGTATGTCGTCAATTAGTCACCAAAATTTGAGAATTATTAGTTGATGCATTCCAATGCTTTGATGTATGCTAAAAAATTGTACTCAATTTTCATGCTTTTCTGCTTATGTCAAAATTTAAATGGTCACTTCTTAGAAACCACGGTATTTTTCTATGAAACAGCAGCATGAACGAATGTTCCAATTACATCACAAAAAAGTGTAAACGTTCAGATATAAAAAATCACAATTTTACATAAATACAAATATAAATTTTAACTACAATATTAAAAAATTCAGTGGCTACATATAACAAATTGTTTAGGGTACAGTTACAGTAGTTATATCACATTACGTAGATATTAAATTATAATTGTTTGTCATGACATAGATGGGAGATTTAGGAAATACATTGGTTTTAGCATTGTGACAATAGAACATGCAATCAGCTCGAGACCTATGTCTAGTAGAGGAGGGTCGGTCATGAACGACTCGCACGAATGTTCCGGTACATAATCTTGTGCCATGAACTTACAAACCATAAAATCTCAAGTAAAACTCTTCGTTTATGTAATGTCTAAGAATTGGATAACAAAAAAAAAACGTTTTTTTATTGCCATTTATATTGGTAAAATGCAAAGAGCACCGACCAAACACTTGCAAACAACTAAATCATCATGTGGTAATAAACACGATTGTGTTAATTGTCAAAACATTTTATGTATATGAGCCACCTCCCGCCAGCGTGCATATTCAGCTTAGCCACAGCTAGCTTCGTAGCTCCGAACAACAAGAGGCAAGAGTTTACTTGAGGGATTGTCATAGCATAGTCAACATATTGCACCCTTCGTTAAAATGAAGTACTCACATTGAACGGCACAAATGAGTTGTGCCGTACGTGCCAGCGCATCCCAAAATGAACGAGCGACCCAGCTCTAAATTGTCTAGGAACTCGTATACTAAAAGAACCCAGTAGATATGTCGAGTTTGATGATGACATGAAAGACAAAACTATTAAGTGTTCCAAAGCAAATAGGAATTTCTGACTATAAAACTCAAAGCTCTATTGGCCATATTTATAAATGCATTGATATGATCAGTCTATTTATCATATGTTACACCTAAATCTGCAACATTACAACGTGCCAACGCATTTTCAAGTGTAATTAAATATTAGCGGTTCCTTTTTGGAAGTGATTGAGCAGACCATATACTTATCTATATTAATAGATAATAGATGATTCTGACACCATCTACTTACACGATCTACCAGTTCTTGCAGTATTAAACAATCTTCCAAATTAGATTTTAGAAACAGTAATAAATCAAAAATAAATAAAATACTAAGAAGTGGCCCCAAATTTGACCCTTGCACTGTGGGCCAGGCGACCTAAAATCTTGGCCAAAAACCAAGTATGGAATTCGAACAAAAGAAACTATTTATCATTTTGTAAACACTTCAGAGTATTTAAAAATCGATTTTTATACATATATTCATCGATTAACAGCATTGCGCGGTATTTTGAACTTAGATAACCATGTTAAATTAGTAGTAGGAAGCATAATGCATCAACTAATATATTTTCGAATAATTTCGTTATGTACCGTTTTTTTGGTAATTCTGCATTAATAAATGTTGAAAAATCATGAAATAAGTGTAACTGTAAAAAGTTACGTAGGTTTAATACGTCTGCTACAATTTATTCACCCATAAAATAATATTTCTTATATGTGCTCGTTGTCGATTCTCTCCACACCTAAACTTCACACCCAAATAAGAAAAATTAGGCACCGTTTTATTCGGTAGAATGTGTACTTTGAGCTTGATGTGCCCAATTTTGCCCGTTTTGTTTGTTTTAAAAATATCTTACTCAAGGCGCATCCTTGTGCATTCCGTCATTCTTAATTGTATGGAGATATTCAATGCCCTCACCCACCAAATGCACTGGTTAAGAGGGGAATAAAGATATTTTCTGAAAACAGACCTTCACCCAAGCATAGTCTTTTCAAAAACTACACTATTTTCTGAGAAAATTATATGTGGCCTATATAGATAAGGTATTGAGCTAGGAGTTGACATATTTTTTATTGCAAAATAATTTGTATTATTGAAGTTGTGGATAAAGTATAATAACAAATTGAAATTTTATGTCATAGATCTTTATTATAATTTTACATATCCTTCGTACTGATTTGAGGAACTGACCTGCAAATTATTAGACTGAATTATGCAGTATTACCAGCAATGTCTAGATTTTTGTGAAATTA